GCGACATCATTTGCATACATAAAATATAGGACGTTGTGAATATCATGATGAAAATTTGAAAGTCATAGGTAGGGATAGCTAAGGTATGTACAAGAATCACATATTAAATTTTATAAGAAAGAAGTTTATTAGAAATATTTATGATTTTGAAAAATTTTTGTTTTTCATACAGATTTAATTGAATAATATCACACACAAAATCTTATTATTCAAAGGTAAAATGTAATAATATATGGGAACTGATTTTCATTATATCCGAAAATTAATAAAAATGCTTAATATCAACCTCAATTTTCAAGTAATCGCGATATTAATATTATTAGTGTGGAAAATCGTATTTTTCATTGAAATTTCATGTTGTACGAACAATTCTAAAATTTATTGATATTTTAATTTTAATTTTTATCAAAAATTTTTATATACATTTGCTATGTTATTTATTTTTATAAAAGAATTCCATATTGTTAAACAGCCATGTAAATTTCATTATAAATTAATTTTATTTTTATAGGTCATAAAATTTAAGAAAAAAGCATGAAATCAATCAATTGAAAGAATAATTAAAAAATTTATAAAATGCAATTACATGGAAAGAAATTTTTAAATTTGTTGTATGTTGTATGTGCAATCGTGATTTTGGAAGAAAAACATAAATTATGGTTATATTATTTCAAAAATTTACAAATGTGATTTGTAACAAATAAAAATGAATAACAATAATTGTAAATTTAAATGATTTTTTTTTTAATATTTTCATTCTATATGGAGAATTGTGAGAAATTTCAAGACTAAAATAAAATTATTTACATAACAAGAAGCAATAGGATTGATTGAAAAATTTAGTATATGATTCTAGCAAAGTTAGATTTTTCTGGAATATTGTACTAAGTACAAAAATTTTTTAATGTAATACAAGAATGTATTATTAAAATAGGGTGACCATATTTTTGGAATTCTAAAGTATCTTTGCTAGCGTCAGTTTGACAGGTCGGATTAGTTTTAATTTTTCTTACGGTACAAACAAAGATCGTTTTAAAAATTACCCATAAAGAATTCCATTTTTCTTTCTAATATCTTTAATAGAAGTATATGGTTTGTGTTAATTTCATCAGAGATTGTTCTACTAGCCGAGCTCAAGAGTTCAAACGAAATCAGTTGAATACATCTAAGCAGTAAACTTGAAGACAAGAATTACAAAAAATTAATTTGTATGCATTTTCCTATTTCATTATCCGTGTAAAAAATATGCAGCAATTATTTCTTTCTTAATCTGAAAATGCAATAGGTTACATGCATATTTTTGTATTAGTTACCAAAAAGCAATTCCATAATTTAAACGAAAAATGGAAATTTTTCATTGTAAAAATAAAGTGCTTTATTACAAATACTCAGGCCAGTCATAAATGAGCTGTCAAAGTAAATTTGAGCAGTTTCTGCAATATTTGACAATATTTTATGTTGAGCTAAAAAAGTTCATTACAATTTACTTCCTTTTAAATTAAGAGTTATGTACGAATAAATTCTTTAATTGATTTATTTTTGACCAGAGAGAAATGAAATGAAAGTCTACATGCCTTTTAAGTAAAATTGTCAAATTTTAAAGTGAAAATGGAAGATGTTTAAATATTTTTAAGAATTGTTAAAAATTTTTTTGTATAACTTAAAATAAAATTCTTTTCATATTAAAATTTTTTTTGAATTCAGAATTTACTTACACTGATTTGAGTTTTCTCAGCCTAAAGAATATTTAGCAGTAATATCCTAAAAAAAAATATCTGATATGGTCAGCATATAACCGACCGCGATGTGTATTGCCTAGTTAAGTGAAAGTGTTACAGAATATTATAAAAATGCCTGTTCAATACTTCTTTCCAATTATTAGGACATTAGTAAGCTTATAGTTAACATACCTAGAAAAATGTAAATTTGGCTCTTAGTGGGGTTTCGTTTTGTGGTACTCGAATTCTCTGAAATGCTCACCAGTTAGTTTCGATAACAATCAAAACTCAAATATAAAATTTCAAGGAATTCCATTAATTCGTTCCATAGATATGGTAAAAAAATGTAAAATAGGCCCTCAGATCAGTTTCTGAGCCTTTATCTTTCCAAAAAATTTATTGTTTTATACGGACATAAATACATTGTTTTGGTACGAAGAATTTAAATATTAAATTTCAAGGAAATTGATTGATTATTACTCTTTATATACGCAAAAATGTGTATTTGGCCCGTAGTAAACCTCCAGTTGCTGGTACATGATTTCTTTCAAAAGTTAGAATAATCATACTAACCAAATAATTCAGAAATAAAAGGTGCCGAAAAGTCTAATTTTACAAATTTGAAGAGGCGATAACTTTAGAACGGATGTACGCAGAAAAAAATTATCTTCTAGCAAAATTGTCTTTTAGAGAACATATGGTCACTCTATCAGAAATCATTATAGTTTTTTAAATAAAAAATTTTTGTATACTTTATCTTGAGAATAGCTATTTAATTTAATATTAAAAACAAATGATAATATTTCATGGAACCACAGTCAAAATTTTATAACAATTTTTAATTGACGACTAATTTTAAATATTTATAAATTATGTAAGTATAAGAATCGTGTATATATTTATTTATAAAATAACATTAAAAGCTTCCAAATTTTTTTTTTAAATTTCTTAATTTAAATCATTAAATATGAATATTTAAGTATGTCTATTTGTATACATACCTCCAGAAAAACAAGAAAAAAAAAAGTAAAACCAAATTCAATTCATTTATTTTCAAAGCTCTTTATTTATTGAATTTGGCTGTCAGGAATTGTGCTGTTTTTCATTTATTTTTATTAGAATATTTCCCTTTTTCAATTGAACAAATTAAATTTAAATTTATTGAATTTTGTTATATTGAAATTAAAACAATATGAAATGTTTTTCAAAATTGGTGTGAAATCTTTTTTTTTTTGGGTAAACAAGTAAAGCAAATTTTTTTTTCTGTTTTTTTTTTTTTTTGTAACTAAAAATAAAATTCTTTACTTTTGAATTAAGCGAAAAACATAATAAAAATAACAAAATATTTTTATATACAAAATGAAATTTTCACACTTTATAATCAAAATGAAAAAGTAAATAAATATAATAAGTACTTGAATATATAAGTATGTATGTATGTATTTATGTAATTATTTATATATATATATTGTGTGCATTAAGTTCATACATAATAATATTTAAAATGTAAGTATTCTTAAGACATTTCTTGTAAGAAAAAACAAAGTGAAAAATGAAAATTTTTTTATATATTTTTTTTCTTGTTTTTGTTTTTTATTATTTTGGGATCGTAAATTATTTCATTTTTCATGCGGTGTAATTAGTAATAATTTGAATTTTGGTGGGAAAAGTGTGGTTTCGTTTTTGGAATATTTTTTGTGCGTACATATTGTTGTTTTCTTTTGCTAATTTTTTGTTTTTCATTAACAGAAAGGTGTAATTAATAAGAAATTTTTTCAATGTATATAAAGTATTTATTTTAAATTAATAAAAGTTTAGGATATAAAAAAAATTCATATTAATGAATTGTTTTATTTTCAAATTATTTATAAACAAATAATAATTAAATTTTACAAAGTATTTCGAGTAGACTTGAATTATTTTCGGGGGTGTTTATTCAAAAAGAAAAAAAATATTATTCAAATATTTTGTGCTTATTTTTATCGTAAAAAAAAATTTAATATTATTTTGATTGATAGCTGCAGAGTTGAGAAACAAAAAAAAAAACAAAAATGTTTAAATAACTAAATTTTAAAATTTATGGAATTTTAAGATTTTTTTATTTTAAAAATGAGTTATTGTTTATTTTAAATTATATAGACGAGTCAAATTAAAAAAGCTAAAATATCTTTGAAAACAACAATATTTTAAATTTGTGGTTGTTGTATTTTCAATAAGAAGGTAATAATTTTATTGCATATGAATTGGAATTTCAAAAAATTTTTTATGGAGAAAGAACCATATTTTCTCATACCACACTGATTTGGTCTTAATTTTGAAATCATTAAAGTTCTTATTTTTTGAAGGTTTTTTAAAATGAATGTTCAGAAATTGTTGAAATTCTGGTGAATGATGGACGAACATGAAATTAATTAAAATTAGAAACATTTTATGAAATAAAAAATTTTACTTAAAAACCTTACTTGTATTTATCAGATTTGGTCATAAAATTTTTGTATAAAATTTCAAAATTTTGTTCTGCTGCAATAAAGTTGACCGTGTTAACTCTGTGATACCCGTACAAATTTGTTATCCCATGTGCAAATAAATATGAGCTGACTATGGGACAGACTATGACTTTTATTTGTCGTATTACCATATTAATTTATGAAAAATTTCAGTACTGCTTTTCAAAATACTGTGTGTGCCAAACTACTATTGAAGTTGTATGGTATCTACCAGAAAGAGCCAAGAAATTTTAACGAATTTTTTGGAGCACATCGGCTCTACTAATATATTCACTTATGTGAAATTTCAATACCATAGCTTTTATAGTTTCTGAGATATAGCCAAATAAATTTTGAAGTTGTATGGCAGCTACCCGAACCGGTACAATGATCATGTCCAATTTAAATAGGGTTCTGGCACTTACTACAATAAATCATTTGTGAAAATTTGGTGTATGTAGCTCAATTAGTTGTTACGTTATTGTTGGGACGGACGGACGGACAGACGGACAGACAAAGCTAAATCAACTCAGAATTCGACGCTGATCAAAAACATACACTTGAGGGTATATCTAAGGCCGTTATTTCTTAGCGTTACAAACGGTACGAACATACGTTCGTACGGGTATAAAAATGTAAGATCTTATTCTTAATTGTTTTGCTCATAACTTACCTCACACTCTTTTCTTTAAATGTTTATTAATAACTGTTAGATAACCTTAAGTATATAAACAATTTTGAATAATTGTCTTGAAAATATAAAAATAGAAACAATAAATTTTTTCTTTTATTTTAGATTGAAATTATTCACTAGGATAAATAAATTAAAAAAATGAATGCAAGATTATCAGTTGCACTCGATCGACAATCGATCATTCGTCGTAGCAGTTCAATTGTAATGGCGGGTCGACGATCAATCATAAGTCATCGTATGTCAATATATGTTTCGAATTTTTCTACTATTACTGATCCTCATAAGGTAAGATAATTAATTTTACTCAAATATATTTTTATGCAATTATATCTATGTATTATAGTATTTAATTAGTAATATTATTTAATGATAATTTGCAAAATAAACAAAGTTTCACTGTAATTTTCATAAATTAGTTGAAAGAACTAATAAAGAATATTTGCCTCTAATATTCTTAACAATATCGTATTAGTGCAATAAATTTATGTAAAATATTTAAAATTTTATTGAATAAATCTTAATTTTTTGTAATTTTATGCTTACTCACTGGTAATTAATAATTAATTCGTATTAATGAATTTTTAATTAAAAATTAAATGAATTAATTTGAATCAAATGATTTTAATGTACGTAATTTAGAAATTTATAATTGGTGCTTTAATTACATACGCTCCGTTCTTATTTTAATGGAAATTGCATTAACTTTAACTTTGTGACACAACGAAAATCTATGTAATTAAAGTGTAATTAAAACCTATAATGGGTGATTTCGTTTTATTATTCCATTTAACCATTTATTGCATAAGTAATTCCATTGAATTCGTTGTACTTTTTTTTATTCTTTAGTGTGTATTTAACATTAGTTTTTAAAAACTTTGATCGTTTATTTGATTCTTTACGATTTTGTATTATTAAATTTAAAATAATGAATTAAATAATTAAAATATCTATAAGGATATTTATTATTATATGTCTTAAAAATTGTGAAATTTTTCGTGAAAATATCAATGAAGAATGAGCTGTTTGCTTACTCAGAATTAAAGAAAATTCTTAGAACAACACAAAATTCATTTCCGAAATTAACATAAATTTGTTTATGTTCTTAATTGAGATTTAATTTTTATGAGTATGACAGTAATTTTTGTTACATTAGGAATTAAAAAAAAAAAAAAACAAAAAAAATTCAAAGAATTTCACGGAAAAGAAATTATGTAGGAAAAATTAATTAAATGCAAATGAAGGTTGAAAAGCTCACCGTGTTTACACTGTTTTTATTTGTTATTTAAATATTAGTTCAGTAATTAAGTAAAATGATAAATGATGTCATCTTTTTTAGTGTAGTATGAGGGTTGACATTTATAGGCTGTACTAAAAGATACAAATTTAGAGTCAAAGAATAATTTTGAATTTGAAAACTGATTTATGTGATTATTTGGAATTCTTCTTCAGTAAATTGTTGATTGTTATATTTATAGTATTAAGGAAATTTATATTGCAATAAAATTTCTCTACAGTTAAATCAAGAACTCGCAATTTTACTTTAATCATTTACAAATTTCTATTCTATTATTTATGGTTAACCATATTTATCATAAAAATCCAAAAAATCAAGTCTCATAACAAATTTAATTTGTTTTTATTAACAGTACTGATAAGTCAATTAAATAATTAAGTGAAAAAGAAACACAAAACAAAAAAAATTTTATCAAAAATATTTCATTTTATAATTTATTTTTTTTCATAGAAATCACTCAATTAGTAAAAATATTTCAAAACTTCTGTACTTCTTTAGGTATCCTTTTAAATATTTCCAAAAAAATACAAAGCTACATAATTCAAAGTATGTAAAACACGTGTAATTATTAACAGTGATAAAAAAAATTTTAATAAAAATTTCTCTTCAAATAAAAAGTGTGAAATTCAAATGAAAATTCCTTTGTGTTTAACAGAAAATTCTGTTATAATTTAACAAAATAAAATCAAAATATTCTTTTTATAGTATAGAAGAAGAAAATGTTACAAAGAGAATAGTGATAAAGCATAGACGAAAGAAAATTTTCCCAAATGTATGTCATTGTCAATATTAAGCAATATGGTTTAGCTTACTCCCACTATCAGTATGGATAGGTAATGGTCCAAAATTTTTGTTTTGTTTTTTGTTTTCATCAAAGGAAACAAGGTCATTTAAATAAAAGCTTTCATGTTTTGTAAACAAAATAATTTTCTGTATCTTCTTTTTTTCAATTTTGTATTACTTTTCCCTTTATTCATAAAGAAAAAGCTACACGTATAAGAATACGTACAAATGCGAAGAGAAATCAAAATTTCAAAAATTAAAGAGAATTTTGAATTTAAAAGAGAAAATTTAAGTGCTTTTCCAGAAAACGTTGCCAGAGTAAAATAAAATTGCTTAACAAAATTTTTATAATTTCTATGGTTACAAACAGTAACCACTTAAGTATTGAATTTCTACATTTCTAAATTTTATAAGAAATTTAAACGCTTTACAGTTTAAACGTTTTTTTTAAAGGAACCATTGAAGGTATTCCAATGAAAAAAAAAATATTTTATTCGAAAATAATTAAAATAAAAAATGTGAGTGCGGGCGGAAAATATTCAGAGTAAAAACATTTTTGTTCAGGTTACGTTTCATTTTACGATTTCAGTTTTGTTATCCTGTTCGCATTACAGCGTATAATTAAAATTTCTTAATTTAGTTTAATATACAAACGTTTTTACATTTAGTTTTAATATAAACTTCTAAAAGATTTTCAACATTAAATGAATAAATAAAAACTTATATGAAAACTGTTCCAATTGTACTACAAATTGAAATTTCACCTAATTGTGCTAGATTGTTTATAAATAAAAAATTTATATTCACGTTTTCTTCAATTTATATTTTTCGGTTAGAAACAGTATTTTTACTCGGTCTAAACAAAATGTATCCAGAATATTTCCAATCTCGTAAAATAGAATTATACGAAGTTGTCTTATTTTGTACAAATTAACTCATAGTTAATATTAATTTGCTTTATTCTGCAATGTGAGTTTTATTATTTATAGTATATACTTTGAGAAACAACAAACAACTTCTATTGCATTTTAATTGCAAGTACCATGAAAACGGACGAATTGTAAAAAATATGTACAGCCAATGAATTTTCTTTTACATCTAGCTTACACCAATATGTTTCTAGTATGTTCTTGTCTAAAAGTTCTATTTTTGCATCTACGCTAAATTTAAAGCAAAAATGTATCCAAATGAATAGTTTTGTGTCTAAGTGGGAACGCTGTTTAGAAACATTTTTACTCTCTCACTTACATTCTCTCTTACTCACATTCTCTCCCATCATTTTAATAAGTTTTTTGAAAGCTTTAAACATCTGTAAATAATGTTGAAATAAAAAAAAGCTTTAATTAAGCTTTTTTAAAAATAAAAACATAGAAACAGAAAATTTAGAAAAAAAAAAATAATTTTTGACATTTGAAATTTGAAAATAAGTAAAAATTTTTTCATACACTCAAATAATGCAATATGTACAAAAATATTTCTACACAATGAAGAATCATCACAAGTTTACTTGGAACCACGGATAAAATTGCATATAAAAAAACAAAAAAGTTCAAATTTTTTATTTCCCTTTTTTTTATTTTCTATTTTCTAAGGACTTTTTTATTTTCAAAATATTAACATTTGTGGTTGAAGAATAAAATGAAGAAAAAGGATTTGTTAATATCCTTTCTTATTTTTTCATTCTTTAAATTTCATTCAGTTCTATTGAGTGTACGAGGCAATAAGAATATTTTCAACAACATTTTTTGTATGTATTAGCTATGTACTTATATTTCTAAATAAAAATAAATGTGTTGTTGTATTTCTTTTTCTTGTTGATATGGTAGAATTTTTTCTTTTGATCCTTTGCTTTCTTTATTTCAATATTTTGCCTGTGCATTTATGAAAATAATTTAGTTGTTCTTTAACTTTGAAACCGTTAGCATTGTATATCGGTCGCGATCGGTTTTCAAAAAAAACAAAATTCATTTATAATTAAATGGAAAAAAAAAACAATAATATAAAAAAATAATGTAAAAAAGGATAAGCAAAGGAAAAAAAAAAAACAAAAAAGGAAAAAAGGATGTTATTAACTATAAATAATAATATGAAAAGGATAATAATGTTTGTACACAATATAAAGAGTGAATGATTAATGAATAACGATAATTAATTAATAAGATTAATTTTATCAATAATAATAATATTTTTTTTTGTTATGTTGAAAAATTTACATATAAAAGTACAAAATAAACATAAAAGGATAAACAAAAGAAATAAACTCAGATCATTGTTAAAAAAACAATTGCAAAAAAAAAAAACAATTTTTAATTTTTGTTTTCAATTTTACTGTAAAAATATCCTTTAAATTTTTTTTTTTTTATTATTTAAACATAAATTAATTTTTTATTTTGTTTTTGTTTTTCTTTTTCCTTTTTTTTAATGAACATTTATTGTACTTTGAATGTGAACTGAATGTATAAAAGAATACAATAAAATTTATATTAAATTATAATTAAATAAAGCGATTAAATTTTTATATCCTTAATATCCTTAATTATAATACTTAATTGATAATTTACGATATTCAAAGGTTATAATATTTTAAATGTGATAAAATCACACATTTTATGGTTTTCATTGTTAATATTTTGTATATTTTTTTTTTTCAACAAAAAAAAAATCCTTATTTGAAGGACATAATCGCTAAATTGCAAGAATATTGTGTTTAAATAATTTTGTATTTTTTCGTTTTTGTTTTATAACTTGTTGTTATAATAATAAGTAAGTCTTTCTTTTTTTCTAAAATATTTAAAATTTCAAAAATTTATATATATAGAAATTATTTTATGATGAATAAAATTTTAATTTCCGATTAATGTTTTCCTTATGATTAATTGCAATTTCGGCTAATAATGTAATTGAAAATGAGATTTTTTAATGCTGTAATTTAATTGGAATTTCATTGAAAAATAATAAATATAATTTATAAAATATTTGTAAATATCTCGAATTTTTAATTTAAATCTAAAATAATTTAAGTGGTTAATTTGGGCAGAGTGTATACATTTCATTTATGCATTAGAAAAAATAAATATTAGGATATATTTTAGTGATAATAAAATTTAATAAAATAATAATGAAATTTACTTTTTAATAATTTAGTAAAATTTATAAAATTGAAAAATTTACAAAATAATATTATTATTTATTTTTAAATTTCATTTCA